GATACCCTGGTGAAAATGGCAACCCACTCCAGTATTCTTGCCTGGAAAATTCCATGGACAGAGGAGCCTGGTGGGCCACAGTCCATGGGGTCGCAAAGAGTTGAACACAACTGAGCAACAGAGCATGCACACAGGTACATATTACAATGAATATGTGCTATGAAGGGAATCATCCAGAAGGAAGGAGGAAATGTGATGGTGCAGAAGGAAGAGGAAATAATTAGGAAGGCTAAGTGCTAGAGACGGTGGTGGGAGCTGGACTCAGGATGTGTGATGGCAAGGCTGGGTCTTGCCAGGCAGCAAGGACCTCAGAGGGTTGAAGCATAGGGGAACAATTGTTGGGAGCTTTGTCGACTTGGCAGTGAAAGAAAGAGGAAGTTCTCCTCTAATTGTTTCTGTTTTCTCCATGAAAGCAAGGATGAGGGAGGAGATGGGAGAGATTGGAGGAGACAGGTGGTGAAATGATCCTTTGGGAGAATGGGACAAAAATCGACCAGAGAAATAAAGTGGAAAGGCTGTGTGTGTCTGAGAGCCCTCTTAAAAATGATGGTCCCCAACTTGAAGTGAGGTTATTCAACATTGCTGAGTGCTTTTCTCCGGCTTTATTCAGCTTACTTGGTGTACAAGTCAAGAAGAGGAGGTGAGGTGGACTTCTGCCATCTATCAAAGGGAGAGAGGGCAAGGGCTGATTGACAGCGATCACGGATTTTAAGCTGAGCAAGAAAGTACGCGCAAACAATAGCACATGTCACGTTCACCATCACCGCCATCTTCAACCGCCAGAGCAGTTGTTACTTTCACTTGTGTTTTAAAGCTACGAAATAGAACTTACTACAAGACATAGCATTTTCCTTACTTTTAAAACTTATTTTTTAATATCTATAAAGATATGAAAGTCCTTGGGAAAACTGGAGTTTTTTAATCTGTCATGACAGGCTCCCGGTTTTGTTTGATTGTTTATTTGTTTGACAGAGTAGAGGTAAGACATAGGTAAGCCTGGGAACGACTTTTCATGCAGTCTTCACCCACGGAAGGGTCCGTTTCTGAGAAACCACGTGCTCTGCTGATGAACAACTCAGGGAGCGGTGGGAGGCAGACCTGGCCTCCAAGCCACTTTCCATCACTAGCTGACTCTAGCCAGGTTTCTTCACTTTTTCACCCCAGTCTTCTCAGTCATGTAATCAGGAAACAGTAGCATGTACCCCCTAGAACTGCAATAAGAAGTAGGTAAGAAAACCCATGTAAAGTGCCTAGCAAGGTGCCTGGTATATAACATTCAGTAAACATTCAGTAAAAGATAACCCTATTCCTCTATTAGATACTGACTTTCCCAGTCTCCCTTGTGCCTAAGAATGTCTATTTGACCTTGTAATGGCTTATGAGAGATTAAAAGAAGTCATCTGAGAGGCTTCTGAATTTTTTTTTTTTTGGTTTCCTATAAAGGAGGCAGGCATGATCTAATACACATAAGTGTCCCCAACCTGCATATGCACACACACACAGACGCTTTCTTCCATTTTTCTTCCTTGAATTGAGATGAAATGCTTGGAGCTGTGGTAGCTATTTTGTGCCCATGAAGTGGTAAACATGAAGGCAACACTCAAAAGCTAAAGACAGAAAAGCTGAAATGAAGAGTTGNTCATGTGTCAATGGACATCTAGGTTGTCAGGATTCATGATCTCCAAAGAAGATTTAGCTTCAGGACCAGGGACCAGGTTTGATCACTCAAGAGCTTTCATGTAGCAGACTTTTATTAAAGTATAAAAGGGACAGAGAAAGCTTCTAACATAGACATCAGAAGGGGGACAGAGGGTGCCCCACTTGCTAGTCTTAGCAAGGCCTTATATACTTTTACCAGACCCACTCCCACAACATATATCTTAAGGTAACAGTATTCAGAAGGTTCTTGTTAAGAAGAAACATGTCCTTGAGCAAGTTACATTGTTATACTAAGACAAAGCAATGCAGAAAAAACATTTGTCCTTTTCTTCTCCTGGAGAGCCCCAGACCCCTGTCTCTTTCTCAAGTGCCCCAGACTCCTTATCAGACTATCTAAGGATGAGCTCTTTCACCAACACAACCAGTAAATGAGGGGCTCTTAGCCCTGTATAGCTCAAAAATGCTTCTCAGAGATTCCTCCTTATGATACCATATTTGCAGTTCCCCTGGACCAATCCCAAGTTTCATGTGTCTCATATGTCATATTAACACTATTCTCACTATTCTGGGTCATTTCCTGGGTATTCCACTGTATTTCTATGGAAAAACTTCTAATTCTGAGAACTAGGTTTCACAATTGCCCACGAGGGCAGAGAGATGTGAACCTGTGAGCAAACACACAGAAACTTAACACAGTGCTTACTTAGCACAGGACTGGTCATAGTGGTCTCTCAATAAAAGGCCACTGTTATTACCATGATCATGACCATTACCAGTATGTAACAGTGGTTGTCACTTCTAAATTCAGTTCTTCCACAAAGCGATAGACAAGCCCTGTCCTTCCAAGCCCATCCGCCGTCTGTGACTTAGAGATCAGGACTCCTTCTGATGTGGTGTGTTCCCAGGGCAGGAGGGGAACCCCAGGTGCTGGTAAGTGAGCAGGTGCCTGATAGGTTACATGAAGGCAGAGGCAGGACTTAGACTGACCATTCAGAAGGTGAGTCAGAGCCACGGTGAAGAATCACACCCTATCTTCCCAACCTGGGCTGAAAGTCAAGATGCATTTTGCATTATTCATCACCCAACAAGTATTTACTGAGGTACATGGCAAGTGCTCAAAATTGTACTGTCAAATTCCCCTGGAAAACAAGGAAGACAGTGAGATATATCCCGCAGAGGGGATTTATGGCTTGATTAAAGGCATTCATTCCAGGAAAACATCCTCAGGTCTCAGCCATTCACTTTCCCAGAATTCTAACTGAGGTACTAAGCTGGAAGATCCCCAAAGATACACACCAGGCTTCCAATGTGCTCTCCTCTAACACATACACTGCAGCTCTATAAACAAGCCAATCCAAGGCAACTAAATGATGATGTGATGGGACTCCCCTTTATTTGATGCCAAAGCAATAAGCAACCTCCTTGTGCGCTGGTCTCTGCCCTGCCCCGGTGGGTAAACACCCCAGTGAGTGAAGTAGTGCAAGAGGGCAGGACCACAGCCAGGACACCTGCATCTCCATTGGCAAACCACCCCACCCCTTCCAGCACTGAACTGCTACACAACTACAGGCGGATCACCGAGCCTCCCTGGACCGCCATCTCCCATCTCCCTGTGTGCCAAGTGAAGGGGCTGAAGTCAATGACTTCTGTGATGGTTATCTTCATGTGTCAATGTGGCTAGGCCATGGTGCCCAGGTATGTGATCAAACATTATTCTGGATGTTTATGTGAGGGTGTTTTGGGTGAGACTAACATTTATATCTGTGGACTTTGATAGAAAACAAACGAATGGATTCCAAGGCGGGGAGGGGAGTACAGAATGGATTGGGAAGAGATTGGGATTGACATATACATACTATTATGTATAAAATAGGGTTTCCCAGGTGGTGCAGTGGACTTTGAGTAAAGCAGATGCACTTCCCCCAAGCAAGAGGGAATTCTGCCAGCAAATGGCCTTTGGACTCAGACTCATCTCTTCCTGGGTCTCCAGCCTGCCAGATTACCCTGCAAATTTCTATTAGACTCTTTCTGAGGCTCCATAATTATAAGAGCCAATTCTTTTTTTTAAAGTATATAAGTATATATGTGTGTGTCTATATTATATATAATATGTATATGTATGAATGTGTGGTTTTTGTTGGTTGTTTCTCTAGAGAACCCTAACTAATACACTCCCCCAAACTCTTTTCTAGTTCTAAGATGCTGGAGTCTGACTGGTGGCAGAGGGGAAGGTGGGGGCCCATTTCTCAGGCTGTGGCTCCCCAGGGCAGGGACGTCAAAATGATCAGGACAATGTCCTCTTTCAGGAGGACTTATGCAATGGGCCTCCTTGGCACAGCAATAAATACCAGTAGCTCCAGAACTGGGACACGATGTACTGTGGGGTATGGACAGAGATAAATTGATATGAATGCAGCCAAGAGGAATCCAAGGTAGGATGTTAGGCAGCCCACCGAGTTTGCTATCCACTGTCAGGACCTCCGCAGGTACTCACCGCATTATGACGCTGTTACCCCAGAGGCAGGGAGCAAGGTTTTGGGGATTGTTTTTTTTTTTTTTTTACTGTGATGGATGAGGTATTGCTGTACATCAGAGTGTCTGCTGCAAAGTGGATGAAGAGCCTGCCTCTGCAAGACAGAACTGGGGAAGGAAGAGGGAGGGAGAGCAGACTGATTCTGAAACCCGTCTGAAGACCACAGCATCAGAAGACCTGCCCACACCAGCGGTCATCTGGATGCTCTGGGACTGTTTCATGGCTCTTTAACAACTCCAGGCAGATCCCAGACACGGCTTTCAGAACTGGAGAGGCCACAGGTGGGAGATGGCAGCTCACTCTCAAGCTCCATTGCAGTCTCTTCCTCCTCCTTAAGTCNGTCCATGGGATTTTCCAGGCAAGAGTACTGGAGTGGGGTGCCATTGCCTTCTCCTCCTTTGCTTTCTCATCACCTCCCAATTTCAATAAGTCTCCAAGTTCTAATCCTCTTAACATTTCTCACGTGTTCAGTTTTGTCTTCCTTCACCTAGAATGAGGAAGGAGGCACCATCATTCCTTTCGTAGTACAGTCATCTGCTGACCTTTCTGCTTCAGCAGTCAGCCATGTGACAGCAAAGCCCTAAAGTTCTGACATTTATCTGTATGCGTGATGGGGCGGTGGTAAGAGGAGGTAGTTCCCAGAATCCGAATACTCCCTTCTTATTTGCAGAAAATCCTCCAAGAAGCGGGAGACGGTGAAAGGCCGGGCCTCTGACTCCCCCAACAGAAGTCAAGGGACACGACGTCGTACCCTCCCTGCAGTCATGATCACATGACTTGGCCGCAACCAATCAGAGGCCTCCTCCCCGGGAATAAAAATCTGGTGGGAGGAAAGCGAAGAGTTAGGTTCACTCAGAACTTCTCCATGCTCCAGCCTTCGTGGGGGCTGTCCCAGCGGGGTGGCGCTGCAGTGAGTCCTAACCGGCAGCCTGCCCCTGGGGTAGGCTCTGGGCTGTTCTCGCGCCTGGCTCCCAGGGCCCTGCCTGCTGCCCAATTCCTCTATCACTCTGAGAAGTGAGCAGTAGCCTTCTGACACATCCCTCTTAATAAGTTTACTGGAATCCGTTTCTGGGCTATACCTAAGAACTCTGACTGCCAAACCTGGTGTTACCGGTCCTTAACTCCAGCGTCTAACAGACTGCTTGGCTGTTATTGCTGTTGTTTAGGGCTCGGTTGTGTCCAGCTCTTTGTGACCGCACGGACTGTAGCCCACCAGGCTCCTCTGTCCATGCTATTTCCCAGGCAAGAATACTGGCATGGGTTGCTGTTTCCTTCTCCAGGGGATCTTCCCCAGCCAGGGATGGAACCCATGTCTCCTTCATTGGCAGGTGGNGGGATCTTCCCCAGCCAGGGATGGAACCCATGTCTCCTTCATTGACAGGTGGATTCTTTACCACCGAGCCACCAGGGAAGCCCAGAGTGCCTGGCAGCTAACAGGTAATGTGTTAGGGATGAATCAAAGGAGGGAGAAAGGAAGCAAGGGAAGGAGGGGAGAGAGAGGAAGGAAACACAACCATTCTTATTCATTTTTGACCTTTGGCAACTTCTCAGGTGAGCTTGGAAGCAGGGAAAGAAAGGTTGGGAAATTATGGACCACTCTATGTATGTGTATATTGGGCTTCCCTTGTGACTCAGGCGGTAAAGCGTCTGCCCCCAGTGCAGGAGACCAGGGTTTGATCCCTGGGTGGGGAAGATCCCCTGGAGAAGGAAACAGCAACCCACTCCAGTATCCTTGCCTGGAGAATCCCATGGACGCAGGAGCCTGATAGGCTATAGTCCACGGGGTCGCAAAGAGTCGGACACGACTGAGCGACTTCACTCACTCACTCACTCACTCTATGTATATGAACTTCAGTGGGATTTGTGCTGTTTGTTTGTTTTGTTGTTTTGTTTTGTTGGGTTATGTTTTGTTTTGTTTTTCAGCCTTAGGATTCTCCTCCCTCTTCACTGGCTGCATCTGGGAGTCCTTAGGAAGTGTGAGAAAATGTACCATCCCAAATTCTGAGAAATCACTAGCTT